ATCTAAATGATTTTGGTCTCATCTCTTATATACTTTCAATGCTATGTGTACTTAATTCAGTGATAATAATCTCTTTGATTATATATATCCATCCAATTAAGCATAATTTAACTATTTTATGTTCAATATATCTTTTGCTTTAAAAGATCTGAATTTGTTTTACTAAAGCTTCCTAAAATTCTATTTCCCCTCTTTCTTCATAATTTTTCGACTAACTCTCAAGAAATTGAACTTTATTTGTTTATATAAATCGATAATATATAATTAGTGATAAAATCTAAAAACAGTTATCATTGAGAGGCTATTCTGGCTCCTTCTTCTATAAGTTCCCTGATAGATTCCTATAATCAATCAAAATTGTTAAGTCCATTAGGACTAGAATCGTTTTGGTATCTAGGTTCTAGAGCAATTAGATTTAATTTTTGAACTTTTCTATTCCATCTGCTATATCAATCTCTCATCATTTCTATTCTAGAAAAGATAGGTTAATAATTTTTTGCAAATCCTCATTCAAATTCTCCCTAAGAATTAAAAGTTTATTAAAATTTTTTTTCCAGAAATATCATAAATTCTTTTCGATATAAATAATCTTATTTCAAATTAAATTCTATTGATTTATAAACTAAATATAAATTATTAAGGAATGTTATTCAGGTCTCTCCTTTCCTTTCTTAAAAAGCTCTTTTCAATTTAAATCATGCATTCTAAATTATTCCTTTAATGGTGTTATATTTTTCCCTAACCTTCTGAATTACTAATCTGTATTTCTAAACCTCTCTTATCCAGATTTATCCTTTATCCTCTTAACCTTAGAAATTCCTCACAATTAAAGTAAAGTTTAACATTATAGAAATTTTATTTATCAAACAATAGATTGATATCTTTCTCTTGGGAACTAGATCAGACAAGAAGGAAAAAAAGTTTCAAATTTTTCTTCGACCTCATTTTTCTATTTGAATTTCCCTGATATCGAAAAAACATTGAAATCACTGAACTCCAGAAATTAAAACTCATAAGTACCAGTTATTGGTATAGATCAAGAAGCTGGTTTTTCAGAATACACTAAATAATCAATCCTCAAGAAAAATGATCTTATTTGGCTATTTAAATAAATGCAAATAAAATAATATCAAAGGATTCGTTGATTTATTTTAGATTCAGCAAAGTTCTCTTATCATTTTTGAAACAGAGGATGATTTATGTTTTCTTTGGAATGAACATGGTTATAATTATATTTTCTTTAAATGGTTTATATAAAATCTAGAGAGGAAAGTGAAAAAAATAGTAAAAGTAGAATAAAGTAAAAATTTTAATGTTTATTATGTCTGATAAACTTGTTTTTGATTTGATTATTAAATACTTGATCAATAAGAAATACCAAAAGTGATTTATACGAATAAGGAAATAGTTAGAAAATAGATATTTACTATTGTCTGCTTCTTTTGAATGCTAAAGATAAAATCATAATTTATTAGATAAAACCATTAAATTTAAGATATAGGAATATCTAAAAGTTTAGCTTTTATTAGAAAGCTTAATCTTCTAAAAAAAATATAAATTAAAGCAGTTAGCAAAAAGCTTTTTAGAAATATAAGTGAAGATAAAATACAAAAATATTATCATTATACATTACTTTAAGAAATCTTTCATGCTTTAGGCAAATTAATATGATTAAAGGAAATATATCATCTCATTTTTAAATACTTAATTATATATTTTTTTTGACTAATTTATAATTTAGTATTAGGAGAGGACTGATTCTTCAAATAATTTATATTTTTAAATAGCTATTCTTTTCAAAAAATTTCAATAATTTAATTAATTATTTAATAAATATAGAAAAAAATGTCAAGAAAAGAAACAATAAAAATAGAGAGGTAGAATGTCACATGAAAGAATTAGATTAATATTTAGATGTAAAAATTTATTATAATTTGTTTTAGTAATCATTTGATAAAATAAATAATTTATTGATTAATTATTGATTATAGATTCTCCAATTTGTAAGTTAAACAATACTAAATTCGAATTATCTTTACCAAAACTAAATTAACTCCATTTAATTGATTAATCTCAATTTTAATCAAATATTATATAAGAACTTAAACCATTAATCAATTCAAAAATCAAAGATTAAGTTAAATTCAAATTATAATCACATTAATAAGATTAAAAATAATTAATATAATCATAATAATAAATTAAATCTCCGTCTTCTTAATTCAATATTAAACCATTTAATTATTAATTAATTTCAAATAATCCAATTAAGTAATTATAATATGGTCGTTGTATTGCAATTAATAAAGATAGTTCAATTGTAGCTATCGGTTGTAATGATAAACAAATTAAAATATATGAATTTAAATAAGGAATGATGAAATTAATTCAAGAATTAAATGAACATAGTAACTGTGTATTCAGTTTAAATTTCATGTAATAATCAGATTAATTGATATTTGGAGATTCTGGTGGATCTATAGTAATTTGGTCAAGAAATAACTATTATTAATGGAATTCCTCATAAACAATTAAAGGACATAATTATGGTATTAATTGTTTAATTTTGAATAATAATGAAGATCTTATTATATCTAGTAGTAGTGATAAAACGATTAAGTTTTGGATTAAATAACATGAATGGCTTTGTTAATAAACAATTACTGATCATACTAGTTCTGTTTATTAAATAAGTTTAAATGATTAACAAGATAAAGATATTTCTTGTAGTAGTGATTATAAAATATTGGTAATTGAGTGTTCTGAATAAAGTAAAAGGTGGATTGTTATATAAAATATAAATGTTGATTGTTAAGGATATCGATTATGCTTTATAAAAAATAACCTATTCACATTTTAACCTTGGAATGGCAATTTGATGCATGTCTATGAGATGAATAGTGTAAGTAAATAGTTCACTAAGACAAAAGATATTACTGTAAATTAAGGTAATGATCGTTGGTAATTATTTCCATTATAATATATTAAATAAAAATAGATACTAGTGAGTAAACACTATAAATATATCAATTTTATAAGAAGGACAGAAAAAGATGAATTTAAAGTTGAGTAATCTATTCAATTTAATACATTTGGTATATTTGGTTAATTGAGTAATGATGGAGAGTATTCTATTACTTGGGATGATTTATCTGAAGAAATATAAATTAGAAAATATAGAGAAGAATGAGAATGATAAATCAAAATATATAAAATAATTTAAAATTTAAAATATATTTACAAAATGAAGGGTTGAACAAATAATGAGGATTATTCAATTATTTTATAAAAATATGGCATTACTTTCCTAGCTTCCTTTATTTCAAATATCAATTTTCAATATTATCACATAAACACTTTTTGAACAATTTTATTATTTTTTATAAATTTATTAACCCAACTAATTATAGAATAAAATAACATAAATTTCAAAAAATTTACACAATATATTTAAATAAGAATATTATAAATGAAATTTTTGTGATTAGTAAGAGTTAAAGTTGAAGAAACCATTAATTTTAAAAGATATTTGCAGACTTATATATAAATGAATAAGTTTGAATTGGAGAGCACGGATTAATTGTCTAAGGAATAAGGATGGGTGTATATTTTCAGGAGTAATTAAAATTGGTTTTATAATCGATGATGTAGAACTAGAACAAATGCAATCTTAGTTGTTATTTTACTTATAATAGAAGATATTGGACCACTTGAAAGCAAATATTCGGCAGGTATAAGATTCAGAAACATTAATTATTAGATTTGAATTCAACAATATTTAGGGAGCTTTAATAAGTAAAGAAATTTTAATTTTCATCTCATTTTATAGATAAATTTTTTTTAGTGTTTATTTTTAATTTAAACTTTCAATAACTTAATACAAGAATTTAGTAGGGCTGAAAAATTGTCATAAAAGAATAAGGATATAAAGTTTTTGAGAGAGATTAATGTTTCAAGATAGAGACCGAGACGATTGATAGGTAGAGATCATGAGTAATTTAAACATCTTAATGTATTGTTAGGTATTTAAGTAACTGGTCGAGAAAGATAACTTTGGCTTAATAATACCAATCATTCAATTTTAATGAAAAGATGATGGAGTTTGGCGTGTCGATTTTCATTTGAATAGGAACCAATGGAATATAGAGTATCATAGATGTTTAAATGGATGGTATGTAAATTTGGTTTGAATGGGTTAGAGAATTAAGGATTAAAAGGGATTAGAGGAAATTTTAGGAGTTTTCTTTAATTATTAAGTTATATAAGGGAAAAAAGCTTATTTTTGTTGTCTTGGTCATCTACTTTCCAAATCCAAAATATCAGAATTAACCAAAATAACTGAAGATTATTTTCTTTAGGATATTATTTCTTTCTTTATTAAGAGATTTTAAATATTTTCTAGCTATATATTAATAATTTTTATATAAAATTTAAAATGATTCAAATTCATAATCAAGAAAAGAATAAGAAAATAGAAAGAACTAATAATTAGCAGAAGAATTATCTTAAGCTTCTTTTTTCAATATATAATTAGATTTGCTAATTAGTTTAAGTTTAAAGAAAATAATATTGATGAAGCTTTAAAATTGATAAATGATGCTTTGAAGCTTAATTCTTAAGATTCGAAAGCTTTAGTATAGAGAAGTTTCTTATAATCTTAAATACTTAGAGCAATTATATTTAAAAAAAAGAATTTAGGATCAGGTAGTTGAAGATTTCAATAAAGCTATTGAATTAGAGCCTCAAATGAAGAAACGTTTTATCATAAAGCAAGGTGTATTAATTAATTTAGCCACAGTTTTTTATCGAAAAAATATATTTATGAAAGCTTTAAAAGATTGTGAAATATGCATTCAAATTATTCCTAAATAATCTTTGGCTTACATGAGAATAGGTTAAGAGTCTCCATTATAATTAGAATGTGTGAAGAATGAAATTGGAAATAAAGATGACACTTTATAATATTATTATTAAGCGATTGAAATTGATAAAAAATCTATATTGGCATATTGTAACAGAGGTATTTTATCATTTATATGAATAAGAAATTTATATAAAAACTAATTATATAATGATTAGGCACTCTTTGATTATAATAAAGTTATTGAGTTGGATACATAATATGCTTTTGCATACATGAGCAGAGAATCTCAGGTTATTTTATTAAATAGGAAATTTTTATATCAAATAGGAAATTAAGAGGAAAAACTTTTAGATTTTAGCAAGTCTATTGGATTAGACCTTTATGATGCTTGTATTTATAATAGCAGAGGTCTATTGAATTATTAAGTTAAATAGGACTTCAATTTACTAAAATTGGAAATACTAATTAGGCACTTATAGCTTTTAAAAAGGCAATTAAATTAGATCCTAATTGTTCTGATTTTTATTTCGATAGAGGTAATCAACATATAATTTTGGTTAGGAATCTTTATGAAGACATAGATAATGAACAATAAAGCAATTGAATTGGATCCTAATAATTCTGAAGCATATAATAAACGAGGTGTGAAAATTAGTATAATGAAATAGGCCGTTTATAATATAAATTTGGAAACACATACATTGCTCTTATAAATTATAATAAATCAAATGAATTAGATTCTAACGATACTTATAGTTATAATAACAGAGGTAATAGAGTATTAGGTCAAAACAATTAATTTTGAATTCTAAATTTTCCTTCTTTGAAAATAAAATTTATAAAGTTAGCTCTTAACTTTTCTTTAATTAAGTTATTGATTTTGGATCAAAAATAATCTATGAAATTTTTTCAATATTATGTATTAATGAAAATCACTTTAAATAAATGTTTAGGGAAACCTCTGACAAACTATAACTTTATAATTAATATCTTCATTATATCCTACTAATTAATATTCTCCATTTCCAACTTCAGCTAATCTTTTGACTAAATACTCACTGCAATGATTAATTTCTAGTTTCATGTCTTCGTTTTGTTTATACTAACTTAATTATTTTTTAAGAAAATCCTCTCCATCTGTCAGTAAAAAGCATTTAAAGTTTTGTGAATGATATTTGCATTTTAATAATTTTGATTATAAATGACTTAGATCAATGCTTCTAATAAATCAGTTCCGCGAAAATCTGCATTCATTTCTTGAACTTACTTTGTTGCCTAATTTAGTGTATGTTAATTATATGATTCAGAGTTTCAGATATCTTGGAGTAAGAATTAATATAAGAGGTAATATATAATAAAAAGAGCTGCAGTAATTCAAAGATCAAAAAGAATGGCTTTTCTAAAGAAAATATTACCATTCAGATGTCTAACGAAATTATGATTTTATATGCTCTCCCCTAATTAGTGACAACATAGCAATATGGCTACAAAAGAAGAGCTAAATCAAAAAGTGGCAGACCCTTAACTCATTTAAAATGGTTATGGGACTAGGAAAATAGTATTCTAAGGAAGTTATTGATAAAATAATAGGGCTACTAGAAATTGATTTCAGGAAAAACAGCTACTTGAACAGACAATTGTAATACGATGTGTTCCTACAAAAATTGTATTAAAAGTAATTTGAAAAATCCCACAGAAATAGTTAATATATGTTCCGAAATTCCTTATTAATTCTCATTAAGTAGTCCAAATTTTATATTATTTGAATCAAATTCCTCCAAAGCTTAAGAAGTAAATTAAATATATATATTATTTTTTCTGATACAAAGTTTCTTATGTATACCTACTATATAGAAACTGTTTTATATAACTTAAGAAATACTAAAATTGCTATTACAATATAAAAATTAAATTTTAATTTCATCACTTTACTAGACAATTCTAATTTACACTATATGAAATTATTTTGATTATAATTCAGAAAATCATATTTCATGAATTGCATTTATTTTTCAATAAATTAATAAAACATTTAATATAAAAAAATAACGAATGATAATTTTTTAATTTATGGTAAAAATTAGATAATTAATATTAAAAACTATTTTTCTGCAGAAAATTTTCTCTATTCTCCTGCGAGATGGGTAAATTATTTTTCCATGTTAGAATTCTTTGGATTAAACCAAGGGGAAGCTTTGTCAATAGATCCAATGAAATGCGCATTACAACAGAGGTGAATTTCTAATAGAGCTCTAGTATTAACTTTTAGAAAATTAGGTTCTCTAAATTGATTTTGACAAGAGAGGATAGAAGATCATTATAGAATAGATAGGCATGAAACACTAAAGGTTAATGTTATTTATTTGAAAATAGGTTTCATTTTAGTATAAAAGAAATAAAGACAATAATCAGGATGAAACAGCTGTGCTAGTCATTTTTCTTATATTATTATTTATTTAGTGTATGAAAGACCAATTTTGAAATTATGATTAGTTTTAAAGGTTATCTATCAAAATCAATATTGTTCAGATTACAAAAATAAATTATAGGATAGTTAAAATGTCCAACACCTTTAGTTTAATAATTCATTATTTATTAAATTGAGAATTAATCAATTTATATATATTTATTATATGTTAATTAATTAGTAATTCATTTTATTTTATAACATTTTATTTATGAAATACACACAAAACAAATATTACAGATAGATAATAATAGAAAAGTAGTGTCAATATATTAGATTAATTATGGATTTAAAAAATTTTTATATAAATTTCTTTTTAGATAGTAGTTTTATCATTCGCAGTGATATTAATATCACTTATAAAATATCTATTATTATTAGAAGCATTTTATAATGAAATTTAATATCTTATAGTGTAGTCTAAAAATTTTAAAGCATTAATAATTAATAAATATTTTACAATTGAAAATAATGATAAACTATAAGTTCATGTTAGGAAATCTTTTTATATTAATATCTAATCCGATTTACTTAGTTAATTTTATTACTTTATTATAAACCATTTTTTTTAGTGGATGGAGCACTAAAGTTGAAAATGAAATTTATTTAAGAAAACAAAAAAAGTGAATTTTAAAATCAAATAATAAAATATAATAAAGACTAGTTCTATAATTTTTACAATCTATAAATTATTGATTAAAATTATATTTTTCAATTTGATTTATCGGTGTAAAAATCCTTAAACTTATTTTTCTTTTTTACTAACAACATTATATAGAATGTTTTCTAAGAGTATATTTCTTTTTCATTTGTACACTAAACAGGGATTAAATACTTATAAAAATAAATTTGGTTTTATTTTGATGTATTTTTGTTATTCACAGTCTTTAGA